TCTTAAAGGGGTTTTCCAACCTTAATGATTCAGTGGTTCTGTGATAATCCCAAGTACATATTGATTTAAAGCCAGTGGAACTGATTCCAAATAGGAGAAGAAAATAGTTTGCTGATTCTAGCTTTATGTTTTAATTCTAATGATCTTTTTAATTTCCAGGAGTCCTAGTTTGCAATTTAAATGTTAATCAATGTAGCAGTAAGTTTAGAAAAGACAAATATAGTGAACTTCCTTTCTTTTCAAGTGTTTTTCATTATATTCATTGTGAAGCATTTGGAATATTAATCTTGGGGATGGGGGGGAAGGAAATGTCTGGTTTATTTACTGTAACTAGGCAAATAATTTCTAGTGAACTGTTTACTTTAAACTTAGCCTTTTGCCTTTTTTTTGTGCAGGTTTTTTATATGGCTCTCAATTCTGGAAATAGTTTGGACTTCTTCTGTGCACTTCTGTAGCTTGTGTCGAGGCGTAAATAGTGAAATGCCTTGCCTGCAATTGGAATGCTATTTAAGTTAGGTTTGTTTTTGCGAGAGCTAACCTCTGGTTTGCTTTGGACCATTTCAGATTGAACTGGCTAATGGCCAGTGTAGACTGGATAAAATGGTTGATGCTGTGATTGTTCATCCAGAACTCCCACAGCCATCTATTTGTATTGTGGAAGACTTCTGAAGCCTCTCAGGGTGTGGGGTTTTTTTTTTTGTTAAACATTTGTCAGAAAGTGAGGGATAATTAAATTTTCTACATATCTCAAAATAGTTAGTGTGATCCTGGTGGGGATACTCTGTCAATGACAAAATGGCTGTGTGGTTGAACAGTCCAGTTAAATAGGATGTAACGTGGGACCTGAATTGCTGGTTACTAGTAAGCCTTCTCTTGTTTGTATTTTGAGCTCTTAACCTCCAGCTCCAATAGCAACACGTCCTTGCTGTTATAAAAGTTGTGGATGCAAAAGTTGCGTGTTCAACTCTAGAGGACCCAATTGTTGCTGTTTCCCTGTGTTGCTGGGAGCACTGGATGCATAGCCGGTGTGCCTTGCTGCTGCAAAAGAGGAGGAGGGATGGGTGGATTCCAGGCCCAAGCATCTGCCATCTGGGAGGTTCAGGAAATGGGATGGGAGTTGTGGAAAATTTCTGGGTGTTTTTCCTTTTTTTTTTTTTTTTTTTCCCCCTCCCCTGCTCTTTCTTCTTGCTTTCTACTTTAATTGGAAGGATTTATGAAGAATAAATAAGAGTATCTGAGCTTTTCCAGCTTGCCAGGGCAGCCTGCTTATTCCTGGATGTATCTGTACTTTTTCTCCCCTGTCAAATTTTGAAGCCCTGTTTAAAGTTACGTGCATCACCCATAACAACAGTATAAACTGTCAAGGATAGTCCTCGGACCTGTTCGTGATACCTGTCTTATCGGTGTAGACCTGAGGTGAATCCTCCTTTACAGCAGGAGTTGAGTGCTAGATAGACTGAACGTAATCTGACATAGCAGGTAAGCAAGGAAAAAGATGGGTTTATAGGTTTCAGTTTGACTCTAGAAGTTTTCCTGTTGCCTGGAGAGAAAAGCAAGAGCCTCATAAAGCAGCTGATGGGGAGGCTGGCAGCAAGGGGTGGAAGGCTGGTGGAGGTCCTGGGTGGGTGGAGGTGCGGTGGCAGTAAGTCACCTCTTGACAAAATAGATGACCATGAAAGTTAGTGGAAAATGTAGGTCCATGCTGGATTCATACTCCAGCATAATATCCATTAGTGTGTAAAGTTTACAGTAATTGGTAATGCAGTTTAGCAGCTCTGTACTGTGCTATGTATTATAAACTGTGCTGTATGAAGTAGCATATCCCTTTCACAAGCAGAGAGCAGAGCCTGTGGCTAGCCCAGCATATTGCTCAATTTTGGCTTGCTTTTCCAGAATGACAGTCCTTGGAAGCCAGTGTTCCAGGGGTGTTTGGTTCCTTCCCGCAGCTGTAAGTCATTGCAGCAGCAGCACTAACCTGATCAAAGAGGAGAAGCACAGCCTGCCATAAGCTATTAAGTTAAAGCCTCAGACAAATCTCTGTTTTTGTCTGTCTTCAACTTGTCTCCTGTTTCTTGCATGTTCTTCAGGCTCCTTCTGGCTTTGTATTGGGCTACACCAATTGAATGGAAAAGGGAGGGAAGTGTATTCCTGTACATTTGAGCAGAAACAGTCAGTTTTTGCAAAACTGGGGAAGCTCCAAATAGTACTTTTTTTTTTTCCTTCTTCTGCCAAAGTCACAGAAAAACAAAACAGTGAGAGTTTTCGGAAACCCACTTCTTTATATAGACTGCATAACACACTTCCTCTCCAGGGTTCATACTTCGCTCTAGAGTGGAAGTCTTTTCTTTTGCATTTGTAAGCCAGCTGTTGCTCAGTTCTCTGAGGCCAATTGCACGAAATACCCTTTGAAGAGAGGATATTTCACATAATTTCAGAACTGTAACAAAGTAGTACTGGAAGTCAGTAATAGTTGATCTATTGGCACTATTGCTGAGTAATGCATTGCAATGCAAAAAGTTCTGTGTACTGCAGGTGGAGGTACTGCTGTCCTTCTTAACCCAGCTAAAAGACTTTGCAAGAACAAAATCTTGATCAGGGTTAGACCTTTTGATTTTTGGTAGCTGTACCATTCCTCTGTATCAGGGCTGATGATTTTCTGTTACTAAGGTATGTGTGTGGAATAAGATTATGCCTGCATTCAGTTGAGGGAGCTGTGAGACTGAGATGCTGCCATTAAATCCAAATATTTTGCTTTTTCAGCCAGAGCCTAATCTGTGACATGATTCCAATATTACTGTGTCATGATTTCATGCTGTGTAAAATGAACCTTGAAGTGGTTTGCACATTAATGATTTTATATGTAGGTCTCAAGTACAAACAAAGGAACCTTATATTCTGAATAATTTAAGCGTTTATATATATCTTTCGAGGTTTTGGTTTTGTGTGTGGTTTTTTTTCCAGAGGCATTGATTTAGATACGGTTCAACATCAAAAAATCACTAGGCTTGTGATACTACATTCTTATATTACCTTTGCCAAACCCATGCATGTTTCTTTGTTTTGGGGTAGTGCTGATCTTCGGCTCTGGGTAACTGCTGTTTTTGCAGATGAGGCCTCCACCTTTAGGTCTTTGTCCTCAATAGGAGTTGGGAGTAAAATGATGAACACACAAAGGCAGGTGAAGTTTTTCATAAATAGATATTGTGAAGTTTAGAGCCTTCTGAAGTCTTCAGCACATTAAAGAGGTTGAAGGAGAAAACTGTATATTGCCAGGATGCAACACAATTTAAGTTTATGGGCAACTAGACTTTATTGAGAAATACCGAAGTGCCTTCTTGATAAGACTTTTCAGAAGAAAGTCAATGACATTGTGTTTTGGAACAAGATCATCCAGAGTTTTTCCCCAGTGAGTCACCCAAATAGTCTTTCAGTCCTATTCTATTTCATCTGTTAAGTTTAGATTTTTATTTTTTTGTTGTTGTTCTTAAAAAGTTTTCTAATGGGAAAAATATATACTTTTTTTCACAATACGTGAAATATGAAAATCAATTTCAAGTAGACAAAATCTGAAGGAAAAAGAATGTCCAAAATGTGGAAGGTTAAAAAAAACTTAATGTAAATATAATGGGAAGCTGTATTGGATAAAAAGTGTTGATTGAAGTTTTTCTTCTAGAAGGGTATAGGGTTTTTACATGGTGGCAAAACATGATTTAATGAGTAATTTTTCAGAATAAAATTTAAGTAGTCCACCCACTTGTGAACACATAAGCATTAAAATCAGTCTAATGGATATCTTTTCTTTATTTTCAGCTATGATGTTATCTTTGCGGGGGGCCCTGAAGAACTGCTAAAGAAATTTCATGAAACTAATCATAAAGTGGTGTTTGCAGCAGATGGACTAGTTTGGCCAGATAAAAGGCTAGCTGACAAGTATCCTGTTGTCCGGAGTGGAAAACGATTCCTGAACTCGGGAGGCAAGTGTGATTCTTGAACACATTAAACTCTTGGGCTTGAACATGACTCACTGCTGTTACCTGTTTTATGTATTTGTATGTGGAACTGTTCCTGAATTCCCCAACTATAAAATTGAGGACTGGATCTGATGTCTTCCCCTTCTCCCCACTTGACTAGCTCCTCTTCTGTGCTCAATAATACTTTTCATTCAAACTTAAATAGTATTTATTTCCAATAACTTATAAAAAGCAGGTAAGTAAAGTAGCAGTCGAGCAATCAACTGAGCCTTGCAATGAAATGCTGTGCAGGGATGACCCAATTGACACTAATTGAATCTGCTTCAGAAACAATCTAGTGTACAAGCCCAATCAAAGCAGTATGTGCTGATTATAAGCACGGTTTAGCTGGGTCACAGAATTTTCTGACTTACCTACCTTGTTCTTGGGGATCTTTGTATACAGTGTAGGTGTGCTGGTAGCTCTGCCTGACCCATCAGCATGTCTTAGGCAGTTCATTCAAAGAGAAGTATGAGTTATTCCTGTTAATCTCAAAGATGTATTAATTCTGGAGTTCTCCTTTAAATGCCATCTCTGGTAATAATTTTGCAATTATTAATACATGCACTGACACTGATGTTTAACTGCTACAGAGCACACTATGTCATTTCTCCTAGGCACATGGTGCTGGGCAGCATGTAGCCATCTGGGAGTGTCCCCATTCCTTTCCCTCCCTTCTTTACCTCACCTATCTGTCCTAACTTTTTTTTTGGGAGGGGATGGGGGCTTAAACATAATGTATATTTGATTTGGGTTGAATTGTCTTTGTTTGGGCAGTATTAAATTCAGGCGTCTCTGCCAGCAAGAAGTGATTGCTGAAAATGAAACATTTTCCACAGATGGACTTCTTGGGAACAGTAGTAGTCTAATCTCATGCTTTGGAGTTCTCGGGACCATCTTAAATAGATCTGTTTCCTATTTTTTCACTTCAAATAGCATTGGTATAAAAATAACCCTTAATTGTTAACTCTTTAAAACAGAATTGGTACATATCACAGGAAGAAAACTGGATTTTGAGCCAAGTTGTATGAATTCCATACTTTTCATTTGCTGGCACCAAACAGTCAGAATGAAGTCCTTGACTGGTGGACAGCATTGGCTCAGTAGTTGTTTTTATGGAAATAACTTACGTGTGTGTGATATTGCAGGATTTATTGGTTATGCTCCATATATAAATCGTATTGTGCAGCAATGGAATCTGCAGGATAATGATGATGACCAGCTGTTTTACACCAAAATCTATGTTGACCCATTGGCAAGGGTAGGTAGTGACTGGTTTTCTCATTTCTTTCTGCTTGAAATAACATGCTACTTCTCATAAAACATCGAGGAATAAAAATAAAAGGAATGCTGTCTCTCTATTCCTGAGTACCATGTTGATGGTTGTGTTTGTTCTCCTGAGGTTCCTATTGTCGGAATGATGAACAGGCTTCCAAAGGTTCATGACTTGATATATCATTTCAGGCTGTTTGCAGATCCAGGCAGGTTGTGCTTCATTGTTAGAAATAATAGCTCTGAGGTATATGATTGGACACATTCATCTCAATGAGGGTCCCATGTATTTGGCAGTTTGACGGCCAGAGAACGTGGCATTTTTCCAGGATGTCACTGAACTACTTGCTGATCCAGTGTTTTATATTTTGGCTTGCTGCCATTTCAGATCCTGCCTGCAGCTGCCTCGCGCTTCATTTTTTTGTGCAGATACGTTCAATAAAGCTGCATCGTAAATTTTTGGTGAAGACCTCTCCGTGCCCTAGCTTAATAAAGTTCTCTGCTGAGTAGCAGCACTAAAGCATGATAAATGTCAGAAGCATGGCCCTGATGCTGGAAAGAAAGGGCTAAGGAAAGTTAACAATGTATTGATGCAAAAAGACATTTAGAAGCTGATACTGCAGAATTTTGAGGTTGATTCTGAGCATTTGTATGCTTAAGGCAGATGTGAAATTTCTGAAATATATGTATAGAATAGAATATTTCAGTTGGAAAGGAACCTACAAAGCTGAAATACATGTATGTTTTTATATTAAGTTACGCCTGAAACATCAGGCATGTTTAGATACAGGTACAGAAATAGAATGGAATATTTCAGTTGGAAAGGAACCTACAAAGATCATCTAGTCCAACTGCGTGACCAATACAAAGCTGAACAAAAGCATTTTATTAAGGGCATTGTCTGAACACCTCTTAAACACTTGACAGGCTTAGGGCGTTGACCACTTCTCTAGGAAGCCTGTTCCAGTGTTTGACCACCCTCTCAGTAAAAAAATGCTTCCTAATGTTCAGTCTAAACCTTCCCTGGCACAGCTTTGAACCATTCCCACGCATCCTATCACTGGATCCCAGGGAGAAGAGACAGCATCTCCCTCTCTACTTTCCTTCCTCAGGAAGCTGTGGAGAGCAATGAGGTTGCCCCTCAGCCTCCTTTGCCCCAAACTAGACAAGCCCAAAGTCCTTAGCCACTCCTCACTGGACATTCTTTTCAGCCCTTAATGTTTGAATTGATTTTACGCAAATTAAGTCAGATGCTAGATATGCAATTGAAAGGACAGGATGTAGAGACATTAAAGCTGACTGTACCAAAGTCAAAAGTAATACAATTAGCTATCTAAACAGATTGTCTTCTAGACAAAATATGTGTACCTCTGCACTGTGATTCAACAAGCCTCTCTGTGGCACTTAGTGTGGGATGCTGTACTGTGCATTAGCACTGATTTTCTGTATGGTAGTGTCCAGTGCTGTAGAATATGTAAAAAAATCTTGGAAGACCAAAACAGAGTATGTTATCTGTATAAACAGGTAATATGATCAACATGTTAAAACTTCAAAACAAGCTACTTTTAATCCTATTTAGACTCTTATTTATAATACAATATTAGGAATGTGTTTTAACACTTGTGGTGTTTTTGATGCTCATGTGATACTTAGATCTAGCTTTTTTATTTTTGAGACTGTGAAGCATAGTATGTTTTGTTGCTTGGCCAGGACTGGTTAATTTTTTTAAGGTAAGACACAAATTTTCTTTGGCTTATACTGCCAAATTGAAGCGTCTTTGAAGAGTTATGACCCGTATGCTTCAAGTTTATCTAAAGTTTTTGCATATATAAAACTGATTGCTATACAGCTGTACAACTCAGGAATATAGAAAAACTTAACAGTATAAAATTAAGAGTTATATCTAAAAGTTGAATATGTAGAGTAGTTTTGCCTGATTACTTGCTGCCACTGCAGTATAACTGTAACATTACCATAAAAACATTGGCTTTTAGAATGCCTCAACATCTTTGCCACTTTTATTTCAGGAACGCATTAACATTACTTTGGATCACAAATGTACAATTTTCCAGACCCTAAATGGAGCTGTTGGTAAGTGTATGATTTGCACGTTATATGTTTTATTAACTGTTATTAACACTTTCATTGCTTAACCATGAATATCATTCCCTGAACGTATGCTTGTTTTAAAGAAGTATTTGAATGGATAAACCTGATTACCAGAGTAACCAGATTAGTTACAGGTCTTTTGGATTTAGTATTAATTAATTTCTCCCATTGATAAAATAGTTGATTTAAAATAGAAAAAATGCTTTCAATAAACTAAAGTTAGCAATAAATACAAATTTAAGAACGATTTTTCCATCTGCCTTTCACAAATTTAGTTACAGGAGTAGGATTGGTAATTAAAATTGCATTTTAGATGTTCTTAAGCAAATGGCTGTACAGAATAAAATGGAATATGGAATAATGTGGAATTTCCTTTATTTAATTGTCATGATATTAAAGTGATAAATGTTATCTGTGCAAACTTCCTTTCTTACCTTTAACTTCCAATTATGGAACAACTTTTTATAGTCAGATCATATCTGAAATAACTATGATTTCTCTATAAATATCGTTAGCACAAAATTAGTTTTATTTTTAAAGTAGATTTACTCAAATACTGAAGGCTGCTGATGGCAAACTCTGAAGTTTGATGTAATCTTATTTAGCATAAAGAGCTTAGAGTTCAAGGTCTAGTTAAAAAATTGAACAAAAGTTTCCAAATAAGTAACATTGACAATGATAGCAACAGCGAGGTACATTGTATCAGAAAGAACATAAAGAACTCTGAAATTTTAGCTTTTATTTATAAGCCGTTATTACTGTATGATCTTTGTGGATTTTTCAGATGATGTCCTTTTGAAATTTGAAGAAGGAAAAGTAAGAGCAAGGAATTCAGTGTACGACACATTACCAATCACCATTCATGGAAATGGTCCAACTAAAGTGAGTGGCAGTTTGTTTTAATTTTTGTGCAAAGATGGCAATTTTAATAGAGGCAAAACCAATGGTGGAAGAGTCGGAAACAGTTACAGCACACCACCACTGCTCATTTCCAATTAATGTTAATAAGAATTGCAAGGATAAAAAACCCATTCTAATAGCTCTCTCCACCATGTTGTTTTGCTATCACTCTAACTTGTTGTTGCTGCTGAAACAACTCATTCTGCTCCCAAATTCTTTGTAGCGTGGGATATTAGAAGCGAGTAAGCTTATGTTAATCTGTTCACTATCACAAAATAATTCTTGACGCTAGTGAAGAATGTGTATCTGGTTGTTAAGCGGTAATCAGAACAACAGGTTTTCAGCAGGGGAAAAATCTAACCAAGAGTCACAGACTGGGGTACAAAACAGTAACTCATCTGATCCTACTGCAGATCTTGGTGTGTATTTGTATACACATATATAAAATAAATATATTGTATATAGGCAAAAATATATATGTGTGTGTATACACACACGGCTGACTTTTGTTGTTGCATCTTCAGTGTCATTGATCACTGCCTGCAATGTAGCCTTGGCTCATGAGCTTTGGGTTTATGGCAGAGGACTGTCTCTGCCCTGTGAAACAGCTGTTTCAGCAGCTTTTGTTCATGTGCAAGGATTTGGTGGTCCAGAGGAGCTGGCAAGTTTCTCTGAGAGAAATGGTTACATTTTGGTCATGTGGCAGTTGCACTTTTTTGTTACATGGCAAAGAAGTGTAAAAGTGTATAATTTCTAATAGCCTCTGTTGGCAGCTACCTTCTAAGTTCTCCTGGATACATCTTCCTTACTGTAGCTCCTTATTTTCAGAAAAATGCCTCCCAGGAGAATGAAATAAAGCTTGAAACTCACTAATACCCCAGTGACTCCTGATTCTTAGTTTTTGCACTGTATTTCATCTTTGGATTTAGTGACTATAACGATGCTGTTATCCGTTTGGCTTATAACCACTCAACAGTGGTGAAATACGTGACCAGTTTCTTCCATGTTGCTAGTTACTTTTGCATGAATCAAATCCTCAGGTTATCTATCATCACCGCCTTTGCTGGCACTTTGACAAAGAAAAGAAAGGTACTGTATTTTACAGTTGGGCAAGCAGTTTAGGTTGGAACTCCTTATACTAATCCACAGGTTTTGCTACATTAAACAAAACACAATCTCTGCTTAAAACCAAGAAAACTCTTGCTGTATATCACTTTGTCAATGTGATTAGATTCTTTGGTTTTAAACATAGAATAGGAGAGGACAATAATATAATGGGATTGGAAGAAGTTTTCACTAGTTAGTAAATAAATTATCATGAAAGTATTTCCCCAAAATTAATTCCAAATAGTAAAAGTTTTTAGTTTATAAGAACCTTCTGGTTTGTATTTAATCTCATTAGTTTGCCCATTAGTAAATAGCATTGGTCAGAGACACTTCTTTGAAATGGATACTAAATTATCCTGCCATCTGAACATGTAAATTTTTTTTTTTCTGAAGTGCAATGACTTTTTGTGGAAAAAAAGAATTAATTTTTGTAGACTTTATTGTACATCTCTGAAATTAAGTTCAAGCAATTCTATTTATTATTTATAATCTATCTAGAATGATTTTCAGCATACATAAACAAATACCCAAAATACGGTAAAATACAGATTGAGTATTAGGCTGGAGTGTGTTTTCTATGCAAAATTATATTCTAACCTTCCAGTTTTTGATGAGGGCAGTAGAACAGGAATGAATAGCAGCTTTCATGAAGGCAGACTTCCCCTGGCATAAGAGATCCCTTAACCATTGCAAATGGCAGTAGAGTGGAGTTCTGCACAGACTTCCTGTGGGATCCAGGAGGACAGGGCAGTCCAGGCAGCCCATAGACAGAAAAAGTACAGATTTTGTTCAGTGGCGATTCAAAATGTGTTAAGAAGCTAGATGCTGCTTTAAAATGTGTTCTACTGGCTGGCTTCTGAATCTTGGCATAGATTGTCAAAAATACATCATCTGGGCACCTATCTTCTATATTTTCTATGTGTTTTTCATATGGTCACTCTTTGTGTTTTTTGTAAAGTGTTGATATGTCATGGTTTAACCCCAGCTGGCAACTAAGCACCACGCAGCTGCTCGCTCACTCCACCCCCCGCTGGGATGGACAAGAGAATCAGAGGAGTAAAAGTGAGAAAACTCATGGGTTGAGATAAAGACAGTTTAATAAGGAAAGCAAAAGCCACGCACACAAGCAAAGGAAAAGAAGGAATTCATTCCTTCTTCCCCCAGCTTTATATGCTGAGCATGACATCATATGGTTTGGAATATCCCTTTGGTCAGTTGGGGTCAGCTGTCCCGGCTGTGTCCCCTCCCAGCTTCTTGTGCACCCCCAGCCCCCTCGCGGGTGGGGTGGGGTGAGAAGCAGAAAAGGCCCTGACTCTGTGTAAGCACTGCTCAGTAGTAACTAAATCATCCCTGTGTTATCAACACTGCTTCCAGCACAAATCCAAAATACAGCCCCACACTAGCTGCTATGAAGGAATTTAACTCTATCCCAGCCAAAACAGGCACATGATAATTCTCAGAATTGGGAAAAGAATGAAACTGTAATGTTTTTTGATTTTTTTTTTTAATTTTATTTTTTCTTGAAGTCATAGCTAACAGGTTTTGAAAGCTGAATGATATATAGTCTGTGTGTTGGAAGTCATACAAGCATTTAGCTGGTACTTGTTATGCTTGCAACAACCTTTGGTTTAACTGAAGCAATAAATATTGGTGCTAGGAGAATATCATCTCTGGTTTGTAAAAGAAAAGAAGAAGAAACAGCTTTTACCAGCTATTTTTGTGTGTGTTTGTGTTTTTTAATCTTAAATAAAGAAAAAAACCCAGAGTCAATTGCCTTTAGGTATAAGGGATTCAGTGAGTAAGTCTGAATTCTTTAAAAGGTACAAGTCACCATTTGCACGCACGTTTCATTAATCTGAATTGTTAATTTATTTACCAGATTCACTTGAATTATTTGGGAAACTATATCCCGAATGCTTGGACACGGGAAACTGGTTGCGGTATTTGTGATTTAGACTTACTAGACCTGTCAGCAGTAACGGTAAGAATACTTTTCACAAGAACAAAACCCTTTTGAATCCATTTGATAGATGTATAGTGAGTTCTGAGGCAAAGTGGCTTCAGTATGTAATATTATCTTCCTTAGACACCTCAGGATATTTTTTCTGGTGTATGAAACTGTAAAGATGGAATTGTAATTTACTGGAAATGTCAATACTTGCAGAAATGTTTTTATGCATGCATTTTAATGTAGGTTTCCCCAGTATTACTGAAGATGATCCTACCCCCAAAAGCCTTCCAGATCCTTACCTCTGTTCACTGAAGGTGAATGAATAATTTTTGAATCATTTATGATTCAAGTGCATAAGTATAATTTTTGAGGGATAGAAAAACTCTTTAGATATTTCATATTTCTAACTGCAGACCTACAAAAACTTTGAATACACATCAAGTTTAATAATACACATACAGTTTAATCTCTGTTACAAACAGAGATTAACAGTTAACCTTAACATGGTTACAGGTACGGTTTTCTGAGAGATATAGAGAAATAGTCAAAACTGCTTCACGTTGGAAAGGATTATGCAAATATCTATATTGTATATGCAAATGTGTATCTGTAGAATAAATCTGATGTAATTGAGATAAGTCTTCAGAATTCTTGTCGGGCAAACATACAGGTACACAGGCGTGTGTGTATACCAAATACTTGGGAACTTACTTTGGGTCTTGGGCTCCAAGCATCATGTCTTTAGAGTTTTTGTGAATATTTCAGCTCATACTTGGTAAATTTTAGGCAGAGTAAATACTAAGATCTACCATGTGGAAATGTAAGTCTTGTACTTAAAAGAACATTGTCATTATTCTTAACAGGCTGTTTCCAGCAGCTGTTTCATTTCTGTTCTGTATTGAGAATTTGAATGAGAACAGGTCTTGGAGGGCCATGTTCAGGATAGCATGAAAGAAGTAGTGGCGTATCTTTAATGAAAGGACGAAGTGAAAGAATTTCTGGACAATAAGCAACGTATGGGCTGGAATGTAAATTTAAAAAGTCATTGCTGGAATTGTAATAACATTCCAATTCTTATATCTTTTTTTTTTGATTTAAATTTTGCTTTGAAAATACAGCACTCAAATGGTGTTCTACTGAAATAGTGCTTGTGCTCTCAACATAAAGTTTACCTGAGGAGAAGTTGTTTAAGTTTTTCCTAATGGTGTTTGCAATTAAAACATGGTTGGGGAACAGTTAAATCTTAAAGCCAGTAATGGGGAGTGACTTGCAATGACTTACTCTATTGCTTCCTATAGTTTATGTACATCTACTTGGAACGTGTCTTCCTTACTGTAATTCTTTCTTTGGACTTCATACCTCACTCACTCTGCCAGCAGAAATAACGAGACTTTTCCTTGGCCTCAGTGGAAGTGTTTACTTCAGGCATTTCTGAGTACAAGCAATATTTCATTTTCTGAACATGCTTTCTGTTCTGGCCTGGCCGGTTGCTACTTTACAAGAAATCTTCAGTAAAAAGAGCAATACTAACTCTGTGCCTCTAATCATTCTTCCTATATTGTTTTATTTAACTTTCTGTGCTGATGCACTCATACCTTCTGAGGATTTTGCTTGTTCTTCTTGTAGGCAAGTAGAGAATCAGATTTGTTATATCAGATTTGCTTATACCAACTGTGTTTTGGGTTTTGAGTTCCTTTTGATGAATTCTGGCATGAACGGGTCCTTGACTCAATATGCTTAGGTGTTGTGGTTTCAGTGTTTTGGGATAGGCTTACCTACAGACCTTGACCTTAGGAGTACAAAACCGATAAGCTCCAGCATGGAACAAGGCGCTCAAATAATACTGCCTTGCCTCATGGGCACAAGGGTATCATTCCTTCTTTGAAGGTCAGAGGTAGGTGCATGCAAAGCAGAGCTGGGTGGAAGCATTGCCATGGCTGTACAGGTTGTTCTGCCGTGGATGAGCAGAAGAGCCCAAGGTACTACCAGGGTCAGTGTGAGCAGATGCTGGGAGAATGGCCTGTGAAGGGATGAGCTTTGGGGTTACCTGGGAAGGAGCTGAGAGCCACAAATGCAGAGTCATTTGCTTGATCCTTGTCCTGTTCACAGGAACAAGACCTCCCATGCTCTGACCATGGCTGAGGTGTGGAAACACTCAGTAACTGCTTTCTTCTCTGCTCAGCAGCCCCTGCCACCCCCAAATTAGCTACCTGCCCAGATCAAAGCAGGTCAATAGTAAATAAGTTGAAGAATGCACCTTTGCTCAATGAGTGTAAATTTTTGCCACTTAAATTTTTTTTTCTTGCTGAAACTTAAAATTAAATTGGATAACAAACTTAATTGCCCTAGAGCTCCTTCCTAAATCCTAAAGTTTATTACTGATATGGAGCCTTCCTATTGCAGATGGAAAGGATGACCTCGCTCATCCTCCTGCTTCACTGGTGCCTCTTGTGGCAAAGGTTCTTGGACTTTGTCTCAGTATGACTACACAGAGCATTGTCCTGAATTTCTTCCAAAATTTGTCACTCACTCAGTGGTTGTGAAAAACCAGTCTGCATAAATATGTATTAGGTTTGCAGATAAAATTGTGAATAGGGGGTAGTCAGGGTAAACATTGGTGCCTAATGTTTCTGGTCGGATGTGTTTGCCAGTATGTTTCTGGGTTTCCGATGTAGACAGTGATGCTGTGAAATCTCAACATGTGCTGATAGTTTATCCAGACACTCCAAGTGGCTATTGGCTTGCTTAAGGAAAGCTAACTTGTGGCCGTTTATACTCATATAAGGTTTCTCTCTGAGCCTTGTAGTGAGTTAGATGTTTATACTAACTGTCTGTTTTAGAGGTGGAAAAAATTTTTGTTTCATCAGTGCATTTCTTTCTGTAGGAGTCAAAGCCTTTGAAGGTTAAATTTTTTTTGTCTCGCATAATGTAATAATATATTTTAGGAGTACACGAAAGTACCATCTAGGTTTGTTTTAGTGGTCGTCATTTCTATATCAAGCATGTGCAAACCAGAAATTAATACCACTGTTCAAAAGTTGTGAATTAACATTAAAATAAGGTGGATAAAACTTCAATACCCTTGGATGCAAGGGGAGAAGCTCTAGTTACTTCATCAAAGGTCTTGATAAAATCTGTGAGTAGGGAAGTAATGCAGAGCCCACTTAATAATGGTCAGGGGGAAATAGTGCATATACACGTATGGGAGGGTATTGCAGTCTTTGGCTTAAAACACAGATGACTAAAATATTTTGTGCTATTTATTCTTTAACTACCTTCAAAAAAACCTGGTCTTCCCTATATTTTTCTCATAAATTTAATATATATGTATGTATTACTTTGAAAAAATGAATTTGCCATGCAGTTCTAGGTGTAGTTTCTGCAATACATTTTTGCTGTTTAATTTTTTTTAAAGTAAGAATTTTAAAAACCATTATTTTCTACTTCTAGTTTCTATTATTGGAATTCAGATAGTTTTCTAGCAATATTAAATCCATTCTCTTTGCTTATTTAGTGAAGTCAGTGAAAATAAACAGGGGGTATAGCACTTTTGAGCTAATTGGTTTTGGTTGTTTGAAAGCTGTGTGGCCTAAGTTACTACAATATGACATTAGTTGCTCTTTAATATAACTAATCTTAGAAAAGAGGCAAGTCTTATTGGTTGTGTCAAAATATCATTTTTTTTAGGAATATCCAAGAGTAATAATTGGTGTTTTCATTGAACAACCCACTCCTTTCCTACCTAAATTTTTAGACAGACTGTTGACTCTGGACTACCCAAAGGAGGCACTTGGTATCTTCATTCATAATAATGTAAGTATGATGTACTATTGTACAAAGCTTCAATTTTGGAAACTATGTTATGAATGAAAGCTATGCTGGGTTTCTTTGCTTCAGCCAGAAGTCATATGGTATTTGAAATTAATATAAAAGACTGAATAGCTTTTTTTATCATAGAGGGGGGAAAATCCTACCCAGTATTTTAATATTCTAATGTCAACCATAATACGCAAAAGATACAAATGAGGGCACTGGGTTGGAAGCATTGCATGCAGCTGAGATCTCTTAAATTAGGGATAGGGTAATTAAAAATTATAGAAACAATCACTGTGACTACATTTTAAAGAAACAATGATTGTGACTGTCCACCTGGGTACAGGTGGCAGCTCCCTCTCTAAAGCCATTCTGGAGTGGCATAAACTCCTGTGTGCCACTGAGGTTGTAGGATGGTTTTTGAAGATCATAAATATTCTGAACAAATATTGCATAAACAGTATGTGAATCTTTCATCATTGTTCTGGAGGTACAGCAAAAGTTCACATTGCTGATGTGTTGGATTCTTTTGCTAAGATTTTGGACAGAAGAGTTTCGTTTTAATGACATACTGGAATCTCTTCAAATACTGTTTGCCATCTGTTTGTTTAGGATAGAATACAATGTGTTCTTGGACACTATGTTTATGATTTCACAGCAACTTGTACTTTTCATTCACTATAAACAATGTTAACATGATTACAGGAGGTTTACCATGAAAAGCACATCAAGAAATTCTGGGATAAAGCCAAGAACATTATCAGAAATATAAAAATTGTTGGACCTGAAGAAAATCTGAGTCAAGCAGATGCCCGGAACATGGGAATGTAAATTCTAATTTATTAATCTGTTATGTTGCATACGCTAACATTTTATCTTTTATGTATATTATTTTGCATTTTAAACACTAACAACTTTATGTCTTAAGACACAAAAGTGGGAGCTTTTGTGGTAGAACGAGATCTAGATGTAATGTATGAACTGTTGAGTATTTCATGGTTTCTGTCTAATATGAAAAGCTCTTGGTCATTGTGAAAACATCTCTCCAGTTTGGACTACTTTGATAGTCTGTCATCTTCTCTTCTAATGAAGGCATAGACAATAGTAGAATAAAAAGAAATAAAGAGATGTCAGATTTTTTACGTTATAATTATCTCAAACATGGTTATATAATAAAAACATGATGAGCATAAACTGTAAAGTTCAAATATTTTTTTTTAAAAAGAGTGCCATTGAAATTAAATAGATGGTACAATACAACAGATTTTAATAAAAAGTTTGTGCAGAAAATTGCATGCAGCAGTAATTTAAAAAAAGGTGGAAGTAGGTGCATATGTAAATAGAAATTCTAATTGCAGTGTATCTTCTGAAAATGTATTTGGTTTTAATGTGGTTTTATTTTTTATCCAAATCCTTTTCAAGCAGACTTACCACAGAGTGATTTCACAGAACAGAAGTACCTCTTGCATTGGATATGCATTTAACAAGTCCACTTTTGTTGTCTTTCACCCTCCCTCTCGCCCCCCCCTTTTTTTAAAATGTCATTACATTTAAGTAAAAATATGGCTAAAGCTTGTCCTGGGCATACAGGTGACAGAATTCTGTTTCTTCCTATGGTTCAAAGAGGCAGGAGTATCCTTTAGAAGTGCCTTAGCAGAAGTTTCTGCTTTCAGGAAAACAAATAAATAAAAAAAAGGACTTGCAAAGGCAACTGACTTTATCTTATCCTTGGTCTTGCTTTTTCTTCCTTTGTCCTTTTTTCCTTTCATTCTTACTAGGGTATCCAACTCTAGCTTTTAAAACCTGGCACTTGTCAGGCCTAAATCTGAACCTTGTATTCCATGTCAGACCTGCCTGTCAAGCGGTCTCCTAGTGGCTACAGCACTGGCTACTACTACAGAGTTGCTCAAGGCTCTCCCAGTATGCCCATCAGTCTGATTATGGACATTTACAGACTAGGATCCCGCCAAGGCCTTGGTATGGCCCTTGGGCAGGCTTCATTCGTGCATAATTCTTCCACTCTCTTCTCTCGCAAATCTTCCATGAATGTCACAGCAGAGCAATTATTTCCAAAAGGTCCTTTTCTTTTGTGTTCAGGGGTTGAGAGGATAGCATAGGCTGTTCATGGCATCAACTGAAAGCATGAAGGACTCTCCGTGGTGGTCTCGGAAATTAGTTTAAATGGGGTTTTGTTGTGCTGAAGCCACTGGGAAAGTGTTACCTGGCTGAAGTCCAAGCCCCTCCCTGTAACCTTTCTAGGAAATGATGCAGATGTCCAGTGGTAGCGTAAGCAGCCATTTGCATGTTCATAAATCATTCCTTCTTTATTTCCAGTAGTCTCTAAAGCAAATGTACTATGTTTGCAAACTTTTTGAAGTACTGTATGTTAAGTTTAACTGAGGTGGAATTTCCAGAGTTGCCTTTTCCTCTTTGGTGTTATATAGACACCATAAGGCAGAATCTTTAGTGTAAACAATTGCTATACTGCCACTAAATCCCACCCAAAGATCTTTCAACCTGTCATCTTTTGATAGAACCTAGTGACTTGGTTTTAATATGACATATGATCTTTGCTTGATCTGTGGATAAAAAATAGTAATTTAAATGTATATTTGCACAAAATAACTTCAAATTCTGTTATGTATAGTGGGGAGATAATCATACCTGTGATGTCTACCACTGTATATGCTACACTGTGATGTGTTATCCATTGTTTGGATATAACTTGACCCATGTTGCTCCTGCTTTGAAAGGCTGCTTTATTAAAGATTCTGTCCTAAAGAGATGCATAGCATATAGAGAAAACATGATGCGTGTGGAATGAAGCCATGCCAAAAATACTGAATCATCCAGTCTTCTGATTAATTTTCTCCTGCCACTATATGCGTTATTGACTGATAGTTTTGTTCCATCTGCCTCAAACACTTCCTTTCTCTCTCTTCCAAATTATCTGATTTTAGTATCTCTCTGTTAATTTCCAGTAGATTTAGCATTAATTTGGTCTCCTCACTTGCACATTTCACACAAAAAGTTTATTTGTCTGAGACAGAAAAACAGGCTTCAATTAATACAGTTCAGTGCCTAGTGATAGAATAAAAAAAAAGGGAAGTGCGAACTTAAACATTGAAGGTCTAGTTTGTTTTCATCAAAATACTTTCGAGTATGCAATGTGGTTGGGTCAGTTTTCTCCTTATATCTTTTTTTCCCCTTTTGGCTCAGTAAAAATTGGTGATAAATCACTGCGAAGGTCTCTAAATAAGACTTATGTCAATACAAATGTGAGGAAAATGACATTATTTCATCCATACCCATACAGCAAAACCTCTATCTATGTTTCTCATTCACATTATAAAGAATAATTGAAGCATTTACTTTATTGCTGCTTCTTGACATGGAAAACCCTCTCTTGCGCTTGTGAAAGTTGGATAGCTGCTGGAAAGGGCCCAAAATTGTGCAGTCAGCAAAGACTTGTTACAGTTCAACCATATTGGCAAACAGGAGTGTACAGCTTTCCTTATGGGCTGAAACAGAATAAAAAGGGAGGAGAATAAAGTAGAATAAAGAGAAGTAAAGCTTAGCTGCATGTTGTCTGAGTATTTTCTCTGCAGATACATCCCTTGAACCCGTAAAATAGCATTTCTTTGTCTCTTTTTTTTTGCCTTTGTCCACAAAGAATATATCAGACCCTCTTACAGCTGGTTCTTTATTTCTTTAAGAAAAAATTAATTTGTGGTTTTGCTTTGTTTGGAGCTGAGATTGCAGCCAGCTGTTACAGAATTTGTTATGATAGAAAATGTAAAATAACAATATGAAATATGTTCAAGCAGTAACAGAAAGTGGGGAAATACGGGAATTTATTTTATTTGCTTCTCTGAGGTTTTATTTATAAAAAGCTTATTTTCCGTAATCTTTTTTTCCCCCCCCAGTACTTACAGACTTCAGGCTTTCTTTTTTGAGGTGTTTTTTTCCTCCCTCAAAAATATTAGTAATAGAACTAGCTAGGGTTTTTTTCTGAACTTTTTAAGATGTGTGGTTTACCCCAACTTTTAGTGGGAATGTGCAAGTTTTGATGAAAGTTACGTTGAAAGCTTTCAAAAGTTTTAGGAAGAATAGTGGAGAGATCAGTATCAGAGTTCATTGACCTCACTGTTGAATTTTGAGCTGAATTTGGGGTCTCCTATGTGCTTCTTGAAAGTCAGATGTATTGTCAATGTGTCCAAGTTCCCATTGGTATTGATAAATGACGACAGGGATGCAGGAGGAGTCCTGGGTTTCAGTCCTGTAAGTAGGGCAAGTATCTTTGCTGTGGTTAAAGGAAGAGCAGGGGTTAAATCTGTGTCTCCCAGATGTCAAGTGATTTCTGTTGGAGCCTTGGATTTTTTGGAACTGCTTCTCCTGAACACTTGAGCAGTTTTTGATTTCAGTGTTGGATGGAGGAGGAACATTTTGAACTGGGAGTGTTGCAGAAGAAAAACAACTTTCCCACCCATATCTGATTTCAGTAGCTTTCAGGTGCAGTAACTGTGGTAACAATACTGAAGCCTGAGATACAAAAGTAAACATTAGTGCTTTATCTGTTTTGTGACTACAGTTGTTTGTTTTTAGTGATGAGTGGTAAGAATTTCTTTATACTGTTGTGTCTATCCAGAGAGATGAAGAAGATAGTCCTAAATGGCAGGCAATGCCACCCAGTCTTTAAGTGTGTGTTGCAGCCTTGTATCTGGGGCACTTTTTCCTTCAGAGGTCTGTGAAATGGAGTAGGGCTTTTCCTTCAGGCTCACAGTCGGCATTTCAAATCGTATTTCCAAACTGTGAGGGGTATAAAAATGATACATTGATTAATTTCAAATTCAAACTGTGTCTAAAAAAAAGTATGTTATTCAATGGTAAAGAAATGGAGTGGTCTATATGTCTTACCCCTATAAGCAACTTGCCCCTTGGAATATCTCAGTGGAAAGTTTGATGAAGAGAAGAGCAGTGACACTTTCCCTTTTCAGATGAGGTCACTGTTCCAGATGGGCTTGTGGTTTGTAAGCAAAGTTAAATATCACTCCAATTGCAAAATACTGTAAACTGATCTGCTGAGCTTTGCTTCACGCTTCCAGTAAAAAATATTGGCCTTCTATTAAATCTTTGTTAATTGTTACACTGAAATGACTTTAAGTTATGTACAAAAAATATAGCTTTCTTTTCAATATTTGGTCTTAGTTTATAAGCATGTGGAGGGTAAAGCAAGTAGATGAAAGGTTTTAGCCATTGAATTTAGATTGAGAAGTGTATTATTTTACATATGAGTATTTCTAGAATGCACTTTCCACTTGTTCCTTGCTGGGACCTGGATATACGTAATAAATATTTTCACACATAATCTGGGATTTCTACATCTCGAGAGGTTAGCATACACTGTAAGGAGGTAACACTTTAAAGCATGAGAATATGCAGGATTACTTTTATTTCCTTGGGGAAGCTACTTGGCAACACTGAAAGCCTAAAGAGAACATGCATTAATTCCTTAAGAGTAGGCTTGCCTGATTAATTTTGACAGAAACTTTTACAATTCTTTTTCTGCATATCTGAAACTGGAAGTGTTTTGTGGAGATTTTTGTTAGTGACCTTAAAGTGCAAAGGCAAAACTTATTGCACATTTGACGTGGTGACTTGTATCTGGAAACAGAAGGAGAATTATTCTTTAAATATGAATTGTTGCCATTTGGTGATGCAGTCTTCAATGCGGTATAGAAGGAATTAGGGGGGGAAAAAATGAGTCAAAGTACAGGCAGGACAGTAGCCTTGATTTTTCACCTTTTTTATATATATGTATTGGCACTCCTATATAAGTATATATATTATAAATATATATATTTAGTATTCTTGGTTACAGAGATTGAAGTTAGAGGTTTCACATTGTAGGTGATTTGTGCTACAGCTGAATTTCCAGTGTATTTAAGGCAGTAATGCTTTCAAAGAGGTCTCAATAGATTATTGAAAGACTGAGTGTGACTTAGACCAAAACTTTTATTATTTTGTGCTTTGGATTACTATGTGAATGAAGAACAGAAGGATTTTCAACACTAAACGTATTGGACCAGGTTTAATAGAATTCTGGAGTTAAAGGCAGGGGGGAGGAATGGCAAAAGTTGAAGTACCATACATTTTGAAATTATGTAGTCAATTTTCCAGTCATGTTTGCTAAATATAAATTTGTTCCACTTGCTTTTTCACATTTTCATAATTAAAAACATTAATTCCATTCATACTTTAGTTAGGAATGAAAGGTTTAGCGGTGTTTGGGGAGGTGCTGGGCAGTGTTGTGGCTGGAACACTGGGCTGGCATTGAGCCTGTTGGTCTCAGGTTTAGTTTCTTCATTAGTAGAATGAGGATAAAAGAGCTGAATATTTTTGGAAGAAATTTAACAGCTAATGTCAAGTGCAATATAAAAGTCAGGTTACTATTAATAATTGTAATTATGCTAATGATAAAGCTACATGTGAATTGCATTCAGTAGGTGTAAAGCTTTGAACAGAATAAGCTACTAATGGAAAAATGCCATAAAGACTTAATTGCTGGGCTGTGTTATGGCCAAAATAAAACCTGCTGCTTTCAATCGGGGCAATTATGCAAGGAAGTGCTGATTAAGGAGTTGCTGTCAAAAAAAAAATCTATATGTAAGATAGAAAACTGTCAGTGAAGGAGATGCCAGTTAAAGCAAAACCAGAGACTGACCAAAGATTTAAACTATGGGTATGTGCCCAAAGACAGTGACTGCAACAGTAGCAGTAATGTGAAGACCATTTCTGTCATTTTGGTATTTTAAAAATTTGGCTCAAATCATTACTACATCTTTAGTGGTCAAGTTTGAAGAGTAAGGGTTGCTTAAATTTATGGAGTAAAAAAAGCTTTACCTTCTACTGTGATTCCAAGAAAGTCATACCTCTAAACACCTTTAAGGAGAAGAAAACTTGAACAAGAAGACCCAAAAGGTGTTCATAAGTAGTAATCCTTATGGCAGACAGAATAAATGCTGAGTGAAGTGCTGCGTTAGGTAGCAGAGGGGAACAAAGGAGAGGCAGGCAGGAAGCCTTGCCAGTGGTTGCCTTGACTTTTATGTAGGTCGTCACATCCACTGTTTGCCAGATCTTCTGAAGTGACAGAGATATTTTCCTTTGCAGAAAACAGTTAGAAACAATCAAATTACATGGAACTTCAACTAAAACAATGTTTATAGATGCTCTAAAGCAAGAAAGTAAAATAATTTTAATGTTTCAAGCTGTTATAATGGTATTAATGCAAGTTCTGTCAATAATAGTGAGCAAAATAGACAAAATCAATAATACCATCTGCACGATGGAAAGCTACTGCTTGTTCCACTTCCTCTGAAAGTGTATTTGATTTACTACTTGGCATAGGAAAGCTGAATTCACTATACTGGATCTTAGCCTAGCAAGCGTACCCTAACAGAGACGTACAAATGTAGTCTGTGTATCTTACTTTTATAGTTATACGAGAATGTGTCTTCTGCTTGGTTGAAGCTTTCTCTTGAAGGTGTGGGAATCTATGCAAGTAACTTACTCTGATAGAAATAGTGTATGGGGCAAATTAAATTCCTTTTTCTAATTTCCATTCACTGCCTATGAAATTGTTTTATATTTCTCTTTACCAACTCTGGGGTGTTTTTAGGTGACAAAAAGACTAAGAAAAGGCCTTTAAATATATATTTCTTTATACTTTTTGTCTTACACTGTCCATAAGGTTTCAGTTACTATTCTGATCAGCAGAGCCCATTTGTAGCATCTTTGCCCAAAGATAGTGTTACAGCCACATGCTGTTACTTACTAGACAAGCTTACTTAATAAACTTGTACTTCACTGTTAAGTGACTGTACTGATATCCAGCTGTATAAATCAGTGACTTGATTTCCCCCCTCCCTCCCTATTTACATTAGGACAGTTCAGCTCTTACTGAACTTGGTAAAGGTGAGAGATCGCTTAGTTTATTAAAAGAAAAATATAAGGCATCTGATCCATGTTTTTAAATCTTCTTTTAGTTTATCACTCTACTGTAATCTAAAGACACTTTTCTTTTACTATACTACCTGCAGAGGGATTTTAATGCAATTTGTGAGTAGACCACTTGCTCGTGATTTGAGTTTTTTGCGTGTTGTTTTTGTTTTGTTTTGTTGTTTGTGAGTCTTTTCTGGACATGTGCACGTTAACCATTCCTTTTTGTCTTTTTAGGGACCTTTGTCGCCAGGATAAAGTGTGTGAATATTACTTCAGCATAGATGCAGATGTCGTGCTGACAAACCCGAAAACGTTAAGAATACTGATAGAACAGAACAGGTGTAGTATTTTCTGATTTTACAGAATTTCTTCCAACTTGAAGGGATTCTCTGGGGCCTATCCAGAGAAAATAAGATCCCGTCTGTTCTTGCAGAGTTAGATCCTCTTTGTTTACTTGTGGTGTTTGATTGCCGTAGTTCATAATGGGCTCAGAGGACAACAATTCACAAAGCATTTTGTTCCTGTCAAGCAACAGTTCCTGGTGTGAATTTCAAATGCTTCAGAGTTCCTCTGAAGGGAATGATGTGTTGAAAGCAGGTTTTATGAAGTGAATTAAGATTTCACTGACTAATTATTTCAAAGTTGGTCACATGCAAAATGTCAAAAAAAAAAACCCCTCAACCCCGAACAACAGCAAAGCAACCCCAAGCCAAAACCAAGCAAAAACTCCCTAGAGTTTATTACTGTAGTATTGCAGTATTATTACTTTCTTTTTAAATCATAGATGCAATAGAATAGTGAAAAGGTATAGGAGATGAAGCAGCTGTAACAACCAGTTTCATTATTATTAGTATTATTACTTTAATTTACTAATTATTAGTATTTTTACTTCAGTTAGTTATTATGTAATTAGTATTAATTATTTCATTATTATTAGTGTTATTATAGTCTCTTAAGTTACACAAAGCTGTGACTCTATCAGCAGACTGGGCCAGCTGTGAATGCTGTGCACTTCACTCCTGCCAATTTGTAACTTCCCGTTAGGTAGGTAGGTGGTGTTTGCCTCTTCAAAACGAATCTGTGAATCTCAAGTATATCACAGAAAGAAAAATTATTAATGTCTCTTGACCACTAGTGAGAAGGGACGGAGCTTAAGTACAGATGTGGCTGTTGGTCCTTTGCATTATATTCCTTGTAATGCTTATTGTTGTAGAAAGTAGCTAAAAGCCAGATATGCTAGGTAGAAAAAACAAGCTTTTCAAAATATGTATACTGGTAAGCACCCTCCTAAACAAAGTATCATTTTTTCTTTTTATTCTTGGTCAACTTAGATTTCCCCTTTTGACCCTGTTAAATTTTGTCTAAGCTAAGTCTCAGTGTTCAGTGTGTTGCTTTGTTGTGTGTGTTTTTTTTTTTTTTTTTTTTTATGTCTTTGACTTTGTGATGCTTTTTGCCATTATGCTATGGGCAGTATTTTTTTGCTTTACTGAAAATCAAGCCACATCCAATTTATAGGAGTCTTTGCTTCTGTTACAATGATGTTGTTTCTGGGCAGTGGGTACTTAGATGCTGGTTCTTTCAACTTAAGCTCAGAACAGCTGTTCCAAGACTTGACAGTCATTGGTGTTCTAAGTACACTATATTCCAAACTGAGGAAAGCTGGTATATTTTGATATATAGTCTACATAAAACAGTTCATATTTTCTTATGCAATGTATCACTTTACAGAAAGATAATTGCTCCACTCGTAACTCGTCATGGGAAGCTTTGGTCCAATTTCTGGGGTGCTTTGAGCCCAGATGGCTATTATGCTCGATCAGAAGATTATGTTGATATTGTCCAAGGGAACAGAGTGTAAGTAATTGTATGCTGATTTTTAAAGTCAAGGCACTGAGTATGGTTGTTAGCAACATGTTCTTAACATTTTCATGCAATGTGGTATTCCTGAAGAGCTTAGGTTAGTTTTGTTGTTTAGCTTTCTCTATTTCATATAATGCATTTGTTTTCACATTTGTGTTTTTCCCATTCCCAGCTTGAATAAAAAAGCATTGTGTTTGACATGGTGAGCTGGTATTAGTAATAGACATAGTCATTACTAGTACCTGTCTGATTGTGTCTGGTTACTCTAGCTGTGCATAATACAGAAAATGGCAAGACAAATAGGAAACCCAAAACCCTGTATGCCAGGAACCTCAGTCAACAGAAATGATAGTTGCATTCATCAAATGACTTCTTCATCTCTTTGGGGCAAATGCAAAAAAAAAAACCCTATAATTTCTTCACGTGTTCCTTCGTGTATATTATGTCAGATATATCTTAAGGAGCTCTTGAGAAATACTTTTGTTACATAGCCTTTTGGGTTTGTTCTTCCCCTAAAGGAATGTGATGTAAGTTGTTCTAAGCTTGACTTTCCCACCATGTGGTGATGCCTTTTCATTGCCCTGGAAGAATAAAAGGTCTAAAACAGATTCACTGCTTGAATAGGACTGGCTGTATTTCAATTGCACTGAAAGATGTGCTCGTGGCACTGGGAGGGAGGAAATCTGAGAGTGAGCATTGTGACAGGAATGCTTTTTTTGTTGATATTGGCCCAAGTGACATAAATACGTGGCCTGCTGTGGTCCGTGGGTATTTGTGTGAGGAGGTCAGACCAGCTGTGTGAAGCCTCAGTGAAGTCTTTAAACTCACTTAAAAATCTGTTTCAGAATTATTTTCTCCATCTGGTAGTGTAGAATAATATTATAAAAGAGTTTGACTGAGTGCCTTAACTATGGAAACATCAAGTACATTTGTAGTTAAAAACCTTTAGAGAATTTGACCTTTCTATTTTTTTTATAGCAATACTTCATAAAAGTTGAATTACTGCCTACGCCTACATTTGAGATGTCCACAATGTCCAGCTGTAGTTTTTCAAATGTCTTGGGAGCCTTTCAGCTTCATTTCCTTGAAACTTGCTTAGTCTTGTCAGCAAATACAGAGGCATTGATTTGATAGAATAGACAACAAATTAATGTTCATGGCTTTAAACTATTTGCATTTTTTGTTTTTACAGAGGAGTATGGAATATTCCATATATGGCTAATATATACTTAATTAAGGGACAAACTCTCCGATCGGAGATGAAAGAAAAGAACTACTTTATGCGTGATAAGTTGGATCCTGATATGGCTCTCTGCAGGAATGATGTATCTATAACAGCTTGCTTTTAAATACACGCAGACTTCTTTGTGTCCTGCTACACCTGACTGCTTCACTTGATTGATCTTGGATATTATAGTTTTACTTCTAATTCAAAGTACTGGCCAATTTTTGTGACATAGAACATCTTAGGTGTATTTCGTTAAATTGTTGAGAACCGAGGTTTTTGCAAGGCCGGTGCACTCGCTGCATGATGGTTTTTATTTAAATGCACTGAAAACTTCTATTGAGGTTAAAATACCTTCCTCAGCGGAATCTCAACAGTATAAAAGAGGGCTCAACTTCTCTGCTGTGTATGACTTCAAACTTACCAATGCATTTAGAGCATCTCTATTATGCACATTTTTATACAATGTGATACTTCTAGCCAAGTAAGCTGGAATATTTTGCAATTTTATATTTAAGTAGATACATATTTGAATTAATGATGGGCAGTGTTGATATAAAAAGCTGAAGTGATTTAGGAAGTTGTATGAATCTTCTTAGGGAGCATGAATTACTCATTGATTTTTCCAGGTAGATTAAAACTGTATCAGAAATTTGTTACTTGCATTAAGCTGTAAGTAATGAGAGAAAACGTATTTGTACTATAAAAATATGAATATGTAAATCCGCATTTCTACTGATATTTACACTAGTTTCAGCACAGAAACAAATAAGACCTAAACCAGACCTATTTCCAGACACTGTAGCATTGAAAAATAATTTTGCTGAATTGAACAAGAAAAGTTGGCAAGTATTAATTTTTTTATTCCCTCATAACAAGGCATGATCTCCTTTGTTTGTACTGATTCTTCAGAACATCCCCGTTCAATTCTGTTGTATTCAAACCTCAGCATCAGTTATCGCAAACCTGTGCTTCCCATGTGCTCATTAAACTAATCTGACTGGCTCATCAGAAAATTGCTTTCTCTTTTCCTCTTTCTCAGTCTGTGCTGCAAGATGGTCTGGTACGTGCTTGTTTTTGTATTGCAGCAGATAAGAAGGGGCTGGTGGAAACAGCTTTGACATGCGTATTATGAGCTTTGCTTGGAGATGCATGTTGTCTGTAAAGGCATATCAGCTTTTGATCAAAGGCTGCTATTTCCCTAATGTAACTGTGGAAACCTACTAGTAGTCGGAAACGGAGAAAGATTATGTATCAGAAAACTGATGTGATGATTCTCCTTCATTTTAGACTTTACAAAGGGAAAAAGACTCCCCTTCTTCGGAAACATTCCATATGCTCAGACCCCCAAAGGTGTTGCTTTATTTTTTTTATTCATTAGTTGTTATTACATGCAGTATTATTCTACCACAAGAAGATACTTCTCCTCTGTTCACTTACTCTAATGAAATACCGCTCTAGCTTTCTCTTCAGTCTTCCAAGTGTCAAGTTTTTGCCAGGGACAGCTTATTCATGACCAGCTCAGAGTCTTAGGGAGGCTTCTTGTTTCCTGAGGGAGGTTTCTCAGTGCTTCTGAGGTGAAGGTGTGCTAAGCTGTGCTTCCGTAGCTAAAATCAATTCAGCAGTCCTAGGAAGGACTAAAGCTTAAATCACTAGCAGGTCAGCCAGGCGCTCTCGGTGACCACACAGGGCAGTTTGTGAAATCATCACTTCAAGCTGTTTTTCTTGACCCAGACCCTCCTTATTCTCCCTGCTGCAGTTACTTTATGATTTGGTAAGTGCCCAAAAGTGGGCACGTGTTTAACATAATCAGTATCTTTCTAACAGTTGAACTCTTTTTCAGACAAAAAAAATAGGCAGAAATAACAAAGTATCCAAATGGTACTGTCTTCATCTGCTGCAAATCCAAAGTCACAAACGCTTCTGAAGTGAAGTTTTAGTCTGAAAAACAGTAAACTAAAAAAACCCCACAGAACCTAAATTTCTTTAAAAAAAGACTATTTTCTGCTACTATTTCTAATCAAGAGAGTTTTGTTAATAACTTCTTTTAATAGCTCAAGAAAGCTGTATCTTACCACACTTGATATCTTGCACATATTTTGCAATGTTTGCTTCAGTGAACATACTTCAGTGCTCTGCTGTTTTGTACCCCGATTTGAATATTCTTATTTGCTGTATTTGCCAATATCTTTTTATTTCAGGCCAATTCACCAGAAGGATCATGTAGTGAATACTCTGAAATAAGTTTCTTGTTCTGACTTCCAGTAGACATTTTACTGCTAGCTTATTCTTTCAGTTTTTAATCAGAAACTAAACCCTAGATGTTGGTTTTCTTGTATGAACATTCTCAGTTTGAGAACAGATGCTTCCAGTGTGTGTGTTTAGGTTTTCTGGAAAACAAATCAACCAACCACTCTTCTGTTTTTTCCTTCCTGTAACTGTGTGTGAGTTTACGTTATGAACAATATATGTTCTGGTTTAATGTGTTTAGAAAATAAATTCAACTAAATGGTTGTAAACAAGAAATTATGAACACTAGTTGGTGATTAGAATCAACCACGTGAAAGTTAAAGAAGCTAAATGAATAGCACATGTGTAATACGTATGTACAAGTGTGTGATTGTATTTTATGAAAGTGCAGGCATAATCAAACATACTTTTTTAAAATATCATTTTTGATAAGATGGACAGTTTTGCTAATGACATTTTCTCTACTTGGTATAGGGTGTTTTCATGTACATTACCAACAGACATGAATTTGGAAGACTTATTTCTACAGCCAATTACAATACCTCCCACTACAACAATGACCTCTGGCAGATATTTGAAAATCCTGTGGTATGCATCTAATTGTTAATGAAACAGTTGTTTTATTTGAAAAAATTGTAAAGTTTATGTATTGTAAAGGACTTGGGATTTAAAGACTTTACATGGAGAACGTTTGTTTATTATGCACTAAACATTGGTTGTGTACTAAAAGGTGTTCTTTACCATCCACTTAAGCAAATGACAGTATATCATATCACATCACAAGCTAAGTGATCACCAGAGTAAGGAGTTGGAGATATGGCCCTGATGTAACAGGTTTCATGATTTTTGACATAAGAACCAGTTTGTTTATGGGTGTAGGAAGTTGTTTGTTTGCAATGCTACTCATTTGCTCTACTGAAAGAATATAAATTATTTTTTGTCACTTATAAATCAGTTTGTTCTGTTTTAATGTTTTAAAATCATGTTTTTTAGGACTGGAAGGAAACCTATATAAATCCCAACTACTCGAAGATCTTCACCGATAATATAGTAGAACAGGTGGGCTTAAGTAGATTTCTTAAAATCTGTGGGACTGACTGATAATAAATTGGCATACAGTAACTATTTCCATGCAAATACTGTTTTGGTCTGTGGCTGAACAGCTTTTTGATGTTTTGGGTTGGAACTGAATCTTTGCTGTTTTGAAAACTAGATGAGAGGACTCCAAAAAATAATTGCTGGCTTACTCAGAATAATTTAGTTGTCCAAGTAATTGCCTTCTCCAAAATACAGATGTATTTACCTTATTTGAACTAGCTAGTACTGCTAGCAGAAGGCCTAATAAAATTTCTGTAGCAGATTGCTGTGTTTTCCGGTGTCTAGTAAAGGCAAGCTCATCTAGACAACTTCCTGGGGTGTGCCTTTCCCTATGGATTCCTAAGGTCTGACAACCATGAATCCAAGGTAGAGCCTCTTGCTGGCGGTGCGGAGGCGTTTTTTTTTCGTTTGCCTGGCTGCTTGCTTTCATGCAACTGATCTGGACAGAGCACTTCTAAGATGGTAATTGTTGTACCAGTGTTGGATGATCAGTTCTGTGACAATAGGGGACAGTGATTTAATGAATTTTGCTTCCTTAATAAGCTGGGATAAATTGTTTTTGTGTTTAAAACAAAGTTAAGTTTTAAACTTTTTTGTAATAGCTTGTAATGTAGAAGATTGGGGTTGTTCTTTAGATGAACCAAGGCACAGAATATGTGGGTACACTGATGCAGCTGTTAATGCTGTCTCATGGCTTATAAGGTAGCTCATAGTTTTTGCTTCATTCTGTGAGAATGTGCTTGCAGATCAAGATAAAAATTATGTAGAAGTATCTGAATTATGGCTCAGATGAGAACAGCTGATATACTGTAGTGACTAAGAAAAATGAAGATGTCCTTTTTTTAGCAGTTGAAAATAAAAGATAGCTTTAAAGGTGAACACTGAAAGACATTAATGTTGTTAACTTTTTAATTGCCTTTGTAGCCATGTCCGGATGTGTTTTGGTTTCCCATATTTTCTGACACTGCCTGTGATGAATTGGTAGAAGAAATGGAACATTTTGGACAATGGTCTGGTGGAAAACACCAAGTAAGTGTCCACCTATATAAACATGACCTTAATGAGTGAGTACCTTTATGATAGTAAGTCACAGTTTACTGCAACAAACAAACATTCCAACATTTGCCAATGATGAGACATCGGCATCATAGTATCAAATGCTTAGTTTAGTCTGCCAGGTAGCTTGTTGTTCAGTAGATTTAGAGACATTCCTCAATTAACCTTGAACTAGCAAATTCTGTCACTGACAGTGGTGCAGTTGCTGTAGTAGTTATCAACATCTATCCAAGATCATCCTCGGATAACTATCGGATAAGCGTTCAGAGAAGTTTTACTCGTTTAGCTGTTCAGTACTAATTTGTCAGACTTGTCCCCCTAAGCAGTTGCCCACAAATGTGGGTAGCTATTGTGTTTTTGTTTGCAGAAAGTTTAAGGTATTAATTAACTACTGCTAAAATTAGAGGAACATTTATCATATTCACAAACGTGGTACCTTGGAAATTGGATAAATTATAGTCATTATTTTACTGCAGGGAGGAGCCTCCAGAAAGGATTTTAACATTCTTCAAATTAAAAATTTATTTAACACTTATTACCATGTCAAGTTGAGGCCTGTACTCTCTTGAGTACAGTACAACTGCAGTTGCATCTACATCTCAGTAGATAAGGGCTTCCTGGGGTAATGATGTTATTTACAGGCAATACATCCAAATACTGACTAATATTAAAAAAAAAAAAAATTCCTGTGAAATTACTGTACAGCAAGCTCACATATGCCCACGAAAGCATTGCTTTGCTGCAGTTTTGTGATTCTGCAGATTTCACATAAATATTTGTAGAAGTCCCAGAAGTATTCCATCTCTATATTTCAAGGCTATTTATGGTGCTTTCATTAGGACAGCCGTATTTCTGGAGGTTATGAAAACGTCCCAACTGATGATATTCATATGAAGCAAATTGGACTGGATAATGAATGGCTGCATTTCATAAGAGAGTTCATTGCACCGGTAACGCTAAAAGTGTTTGCTGGCTATTATACCAAGGTATGTGTTCAGAATTTTTGCAGGTAATTACTGCGTGGCATGAGTAGTTCTAAGTATTTTATTGAATATACCCTATTCGGTTTGGTTGGGGAGGTTATAACTACTGCTGCATCATGTATAGATGAATGTTACTGTTAACTTTAAACAAAAAAATTAAACCCAAGAACCCTGTGTGTGACTTGGAAATTCATGTGTTGAAGTCTGACTGTATATTTTGTTTCAGGGGTATGCTTTATTGAATTTTGTTGTAAAATATAGCCCTGACAGACAACGGTCACTCAGACCTCATCATGACTCCTCTACATTCACAATCAACATTGCTCTCAACAAAGTCGGAGAGGACTTTCAAGTAAGTTCACAACTTACTGACTTAAAAAATGTCCTTTGAGTGTCTAATATTGTTTCCAAGTTGGAATCCAAATGGATATACTTAAAGACAGTGTTGAAAAGGAAAAGATGTATGTCAGAAATTGAGATATATTATTCCTTGGTGTTTTTTGACAAGTACTAAATTCGCTTGATTGCAGGATCCAGGACTGTTGATGCAGTCAGGCTGAAATGGTCAAAATGGTTTCAGATGGTGCAGGAGAAGGGGTTTAAAGAAAAACTTCGAAGATGTTAGCCATTTGATTTTTAACATTTCTGAAGTGCTTTGTATTTGTACAGTGAAAACCAATTTTTCAAAATACTTTAAATAATGTCAGGTTGTCTCAAATGACTTCTTTTCTTTACAACTTTTTCAATGATTGTTTTTTAGATCAGCCACAGAATGAAAGTTTTGAACTGTTGTTCCTGTTTTTTTGTGGGTTTTTTTCTGAGATGAATCAGTATCACAGTAGAAAATAATTTAACTAAACAGTCCCCAAAGTGTGGCGATAAGCAGGGCAGTGGCAGCAATATCCAGCTTCGACTAGTAGAGAAACTTAACCTGTTTGTTTATAAACCTACATTATTCACAATCCTACTTAACAGGCATGTGTGTTTCTCAAACTTGCTGCTTTAGAAAGCATACCTTCAGTTTAAAAGCAACAGCCAGATTAATTTATTTAATACTTGTTTAAATGCTATCCTGGATAGGGATGCAGTCCTGGAACAGGGCCTGTGAACGTGATTCGCTTCTCCCTGGTATCATCTGCAGTAAAATTATTGAAGATCTGTGTGTCAGAGTTGCTACTTGAATGAGTTGTTATCTAGGGAATGCTAAAGCAAAGCAAGGGGAGATCTTTGATTGCAAATGCATGTCTGTTATGTATTGCTCCAAAGATATATAGAATCGTAGAATCATTAAGGTTGGAAAAGACCTCTGAGATCATCAAGTCCAACTGTCAACCCAACACCACCATGCCCACTAAACCATGTCCCGAAGTGCCACCTCTGCACGTTTTTTGAACACCTCCAGTGATGGTGACTCCACCACTTCCCTGGGCAGCCTGTTCCAATGCCTGACCACTCTTTTTCCTAATATCCAACGTAAACTCCCCTGGCGCAACTTGAGGCAACCTTGGTAGTAAGGATAATAATAAAAAAAAAATTGTTAACAACCTATTAATAATAGAAAAATAAAGTTGTGGATAAATAAAAAGGAACTTACTCAAAAAAACACAAGGTAAATGTTTGGGATTTTGTTTTGTTTGTGTTTTGACTGCAGGGAGGTGGATGTAAATTTATTAGGTACAACTGCTCCATTGAGTCTCCCAGGAAAGGATGGAGTTTCATGCACCCAGGAAGACTTACTCACTTACATGAAGGACTTCCTATCTTGAATGGCACAAGATACATCGCAGTATCATTTATTGATCCTTAATTTTATTCCGCCCCCCCCCCCTTCAGCAGTGTTTGATTCTTTACATAAACATTTATTTATAGATTTCTTCTGGAAGATGGATAAAAGAAACTTTAAGTTGCTGTTCCTAGACAGCAAACTTACTTTGGGCTAAAAGAATGAAAAAAAGAAAATGTTCTAAAATTTTTGAAGATTTCTCAATATCTGCTCTGAGCCTTGAGTCACAAAGTAAACATGTCCTTCTTGGTTTTCCATTCCGCTGTCTTAAAGAGTAGGTAAGGAGGGAAAATGAAAAAGCATTTTATAATGAATCCATTTCTTTGTTGAAAAAAACCCCAAACAATCCTAGATACAAAATTATCTGAAAAATTTATCGTGGTTTTCATTCAGTAAAGTTTTTGTGGTGTGTATATTTGGTACCAAACAATTAAAAACCACAGCATAAAACCAAAATCAAGTGAGTCTTGTATACAGTTGCTGGGGATAAGCAATAATTCCATATGCTGGTATATACTGAAACGAAAAAAATCTCAATAGCCTGTTTTCTTAATTTTCAATACTGAAATGTGCACCTTTAGAAGAAAAAATAAGTTAATTGTGGAGATGGAGCAAGGATTAAATAATGTAGCTACAAAAAAATGGTTTATCATCTGTTCTAAAAACTCATCCTGTTGAAAATTTACTTTTCTTCACCAAGTGACCTTCCGTTAAAATGAGTTATTTTTCTAAATATGTAATTGCACCCAATTGATACTGGAAATTTGATGTTTATTTTCAGAATGCTCGTAAATTTTAATAATAGGATGTTTTATAAAGACAATTTTCTACTCTTACTTAAAAGTACTTGAATTTTGTATCAGGAAAATGAAATCGTGGTGGTTTCTCTTTTAAAGCTAAGGGTCTTAACTTGCCGTTTATTTTAAAGAAATGGGTTTAAAATATTCCTACTGTATCTACTGTTTGTAATTTAAAGAAACTTGAAGCAAACTATTTCAAAGTCTACCGTGCCAAAATGCACAACTTGTTGGAAAAACTTGTGAAAAATAAAGGGTAACTTTAAATTAATGTAGCAGCTTTTACTTGACTGTATTAGGTAGTTTCTTTGCACGTTGCCATTGTTCTTACAGAAATTGTATTTATTGATGAATATTTTAAAAGGAATTGTAGATATATTTAGATTGGAGGTTTCTCTAAGTGTCGTTTTTGACTTATTTACTCTGTTACTACTGAAATGATTTCTCATGTGTGTTGCTGCCTGTGTACATCACAAAGTGCATCACACTTTCAGAACGACCCCAGCAGGATAGATGTTTCTTGTTTTCTGTACCAACCTTCTTTTTTATAGATAGGATCTTTTCCATGATCTAAACAGTAGTTCACTTTTTAACTGCTAGTATTTGAAGAAACTTTATAGCACGTTTCCTAAACAGAAGCTTTATTTGGAGCTGAAAGGATTGGGAGAGGTGTTCGAAGATTATTGTGTTACCAAAAATAAGCGTGTCAGCTCATCTCCCTGTTCTGCTGTTTTGAGGAGTGGGTTGTAACCATACTTCAAGTTATGCTGAAGCAAATACATGAAAATGTGGTAACTTCAGTAGTTGGGCTTGAGCAGGCTAGCTTGAAAAGGAATGGCTTTTCACAGGCAGTTCTTTGCTTTCTTTTCATTTTGCTTTACACTGTCAACTTTTCTCCATTTCAGGCTAGTATTTGGAGGTTGATATCCCCTGACTGTTTCCAGACATGGAATACTTCTGCCTTAGTGAGTGTCTCTATATACGTAGCCTGTGCTTAGGCAAACTTGAACAGATCAGAAAATTCAGGCCTTCAGAATGAAAGCAGCCTTTGTTAATCACCTTTTTCTGAGCATTTGCCTGTGGTCTCGTAGGCTAATTCATAACGGAATAGTATTTTTACCATCAGTTACAGACAGTTCACTGTTATGAGGGGCTTTCTTGTAAAAAACCCTCAAAAATACAGTCCTATAACACACAGGGGAAGTTCTTTTGGTGAATTTTTTTTATAACTTGTATTTTAATTATGTATATTTTTAGATCTCAGTCACATTTGATTTTTTTAATGTGTATTTTTTCCCTCAACATGTATATGAGGGCTTCACTTACTGTTAAATTTCTGTTTGCAACTATTAATTTACTTGTCATGTAGTGACACGTAATGCTACATTTACTGTGCTGCACATTTGTAGGAAGGGAAAATGTGTTTACCGTGCTCTCATTGCTATAATTCTGTCTTGTTTTTTCTTTTGATGAAGTATTTCAAAGGGTAACAACTACCTTTCAGGTGGACAGCAACATATATGGAAGTGTCATCATTAATTTCTTAGGAACTGACAGATAACAGAAAAAAGTTTGTTCTTAACAGTTTACCTGAATTAGTTCTGACAGCTTTGCTGTGCTGTTAGCATGTGAGTACACAAACTCAGACAGGCTAAATTGACACAGAATTGTCACTTTTAGGAAATTAAAATTAATTTTCATCAATTTTAAAAGAACTTAGACTCTTGTGTCTCCTAAGAGAGTTTGTTTTGGGGCATAGAAGATATATGCATCAGGAGGAGAGCAGCAACCTTAATTCCAGCAGCGTACGTGAAACCTTGGGAGTACAGGGACATAAAGGTGCTGTGCAACAGATGAGACATTTGTAAAGTATTTGACTTGTTCTGCTTTCATCTAGCTCTATTTTTCACTGAATACACTGTGGTGTGGGTAAGAGGTGGGAGAGCCAGTGTATGGGCAAGAGAATTTCTTAATATTTTTAACCAAAACGAGACTGTGTATAGCTTTGTTTTATTTCATATTCATGAACCATTCTGACTGATACTCCTAAAAAATGTTCAGGGCATTTGGTGGTATTTTACTGTATTTAATTTTTTTACCATCACTGTGCAACAAGTAATTCCAATATGTGTTTGCCACTTCATCCCACCCCCCCCAGAGGATTACTGTTCCCCTCTTGCTGTGAGCTGATAGGAACAAGACTATGACAAACCCAAAAAGAAGATAGATTTTCAGTGAGGTAATAATAATGAAAGCAATTTGATTGTGCCTTTTTCTTTTGTTGTTGCTTTTCCCCCACATCTACTGTATTCATAGAATAAATGTTAATTCAGTGCAGGGCTTCCACAACAGCTTCTCTTCTGCAGCATGTAAAAAGTAAGGAGACAAAGTTAAAGAGACAGAAAAGTCAAGAAAGGACCCTTACCATTTCTTCCTCCCATGTGCATGTACTAGTTTTGCTTCTGTTTTTCTTCTTGAAAGAATTTGTTCAGATTTTTCTTTTCAGCTACTGCAATGAGCTTTTTAAAGAATATATGCGTTTCAGTTTCCTTTTGATTTATTTCTGATACGGTCTTCAGTGGATTCAGTTCTGAAAGCAGTAAGTATTTTTAAATCTTCACTTTCCTGAATTCTCACTTTCTTCCACAGCAGAGTAGACTGCTTTGCTATTTTTGTGAGCGAAAGGGAACACAATACCTGTCTTGGCAGCCCCCTGTGACTGAGGTGTCAGATAAATTACTTGTCTGTTACTTTTTTTTAATGATGGGGGTGTTTTTATTCCATAGCAGAGCATGAATTAGAGGGCAGAGCATTTGTGAAATTGATATTGGCAGTTCTTAGAGCTGAGATTTGCACTAGTAGAGTGAACTGTAGAGTTGCAGGAATAAGTAATTAATTCATGACTGCCAGGAAGTCCCAGTTCTGTTTCTTCCCTCTAGCTGCTGCCAAGAAAGATGGTTTCTGACAGGAAGTTAGTTTCCAGCCAACACTAAAACTGAAATGAGAAGTGTTGGTGCAGGATTTTGTTGCACCCAAAAGGTGGAAGTGTCACTTCAAATAGCTTTTCAACATGGTTTCCCAAATACTTTCTGTATCTTAATATAAAAAGTTATTCTGGATCTAATTATAGTCTTGCTCAACAGTACTGAAGAACCTTGTTCTTGTGTACAAATCAACCGTTAAACACAATTGGAGAGAGACGCTTTTATCTTCAGTGAAACATTTTATTTGCTAGTTATAGCTATGGTATTCTTTTTTTTTTTTCCCGTAATTATCTTCCCATTTGAACGTAGCTTTTAAGATCTGTATAAATGCATCCCACTTACAGGATGATGGCTGTTTTGTAGCGCATTTTGGGGCTGGGGGGAGGGCAAAATGAGGAGGGGATGGGTCAAAGCTCAGGAAAGTTCAGAATTCACCCCACAGAATTGCTTCCTTGTGCAGCTGTTGGCACAGAGCTCTGCAGCCTGAATCCTAAACTAACAAGAGGATATCTGACAAGCAGTTGATATCCTGACGTGTTGCTAGGCTGCTAAATATAGAGATGATCGTAATTTTCTTTGTCTCTTAGTAATTTATTGCTTTTGGAAAGTTAGTTTTCTGGATTGAGTTTCACTTCAGAAAAGCTGCTTTGGCTGCATTTAAAGCAATGCCCCTCAGGATTATTTTGCACAAGAATCAAATGTGAGATCAGCTATCTGATAAAAGCATAGTTGTCTTAATGTATTTAGTATCAGAGTAAGGCAACAGTTCAAAAGTAGGATTTCAGTCGGCACGGTTACAGCCTTTATTGGTGTCAGTGCAACTTCAGAAGTAGCAAAGCTGAGAGCCTGGCCAGCGTGGAGGATATTGGCCGTATCGTGGGCAGTGCTTCGGGGCGATGCCGTGCCACCTAGGTAGTTGAGAAAACTCCATTTTCTTGAAAAAGATTGCTTGTGTTTTGGGTCCTGAATAGTGTGCCTGCCTCCTCCACTTACTACTGGTTCACGGTTGTTGAATGTCAGAGTGGCTGAAGTTGGCGAAGGAGATGCATAGTCACATAGTAACAGATCTATTCAGGAATTAGTCTTTTGGTTTGAAACCAGAATTCTTCTATTTTCAAGAATTTTGCTAGAGAGAGTTGCTCAACTACTAATGGTTTTGCACCATTTTGTTTCTGCCATCTCCTGGGAGTGGGGAGCAGAGAGAGGGGGAAGGTAGCAGACCAAGTTTAGTGTAAGCTACTTCCTTACTACAATGTCTGTAGTACAGACGGGGCATGAAAACACCGCATTTTCACAGCTTCAGTTGGAACGGCAGTTAATGTGAGCAATACTGTAAGTGTGAGAGATGTTTTACAATATTTAACATCTTAAGCCATCAGGACCTACTCTTCAAAGTCAGCTTGACTAATACTTCGGGCTTTAAGCTTTCTCAGACTTGGGTTGCTAATCTCTCACAATGTACACTCATCCCCTGGCGGTGCGTGAAAAGGTGGTGTACAACCTTATTGTTT